TGGCAGCTACCGCCACTACATTTATGGCATGACGCTCCCACTCCCGTCCTTGGTGATAGATGTGCTCTAATTCCCACCGTCCACCACCTTCACACCTTCGGTCTGGCTGCTTCCTCTGCCCCAAATACCTCCCTTCCCATCTCCGAAGTGGAAACCCTCTTTCTAAGTGAAAATGAAAGAACACCTCCTTTATGGCCCCCTCCTGCCTAAACAGATGTGACCCCTCTTCTCTGACCCCCGCACACTACTTGTTACCATGACAAGGCTCTTTAAGGCACGACTCACTATGCCCAGTTCTTGGATAAGAAGAGAGGGGTTGGCAGAGGTGGTCCAAGTTCCTGCAGCCGATGAGTGGCCGGGATGGGCCTGGCACCCGTGTCTGTGACCCCACAGTCCATGTTTCCACCCCAGCTGTTCGTGAGGTTCTCAGGACAGATACTACCATCGCTGGGGTGATTTTACTGATGAGGAAAGAAGGTTCAGGGAGCTGGAAACTTACCCAGGGTCACTCAGCTTTTGATGTCAAGTCCAGGGTCTTAGCCTGATCGCTCGGGCTTAGCGGACGACACTCCAACCCTTCCTCCTCTGCGTGGTCTGCGGCGCAGTGCCCCAGCCAGACCAGCTGAAGCAGCATCTCCCTGGGGACTCGTGTGTACGTGTTTTCGACGCTCTGCTTTGGCTTCCTCTGTGGCCCAGCTTCAGTGGGGTGTCTTCTGCTGTCGCTGGGGGGGATCCCTGCAGTCTGGCTTCTAGGTGTAGGGTCTGTAAACTGACAGACCCACCCCAGTCCCCCCAAATTTCCAAGAGCTGAGAAAACCACAAAGGGAATGCAGCTGTGAGTCCTGGGTTGGGGAGATGCCTGGCCTGAGTGCGCGGGGAAGCACAGAGCTCGGCCAGGGCTCAGGCAGAGGAGGACCTGCACCCCCGGGGCTGGGCTAAGCTTGGGGTCCTACTGGTCGCTGACTCCGACTCCTCCGTGGCACGGTGAGTGCCGCTCGCCTACTTAATGGAAGCCCAGCGAAGCGAGGGGCCTCGCCCACAGCCTCCCAGCTGGCGGGAGGCAGAGCTGGAACGCGAACCCAGTTCCACATGCCCCAAAGCCCTTGCTCTCTCTAGCGTCCTCAGTTAGAGCTGCACTCCGCCAGACTCGGGAGTCAGCTGCCACCTGTTAAGCACACGCTTGTAACAAATGTTAACCGTCACAATGATTATAATGAGAGGCTGCTTCATTCTGACTCCATGCTCCAAAGGCTGGAGAAAACCGTGGATCCCGTCTGGGCCTCAGAGCAGCCCCTTCTCAGTGTTACTCAAGTGTCACACTGTGTGGGTGTGTGGCTGTGTGCACGTGTGTTGGTTGGGGGATGGGGGGGCACAAGCCTGGGAACACCTGGGCCAGGATCCTCTGGCTGACGTGCTCTTGCTTGTGTCCTTTCCTGCTTAGCCCCGCGCCGCAGGCAGTGCAGAGGAGGGCGTGTGCTTCTCCCCACTCCGCAGAAGCTCCACAGAGATCACAGAGGACCCTCCTCCGTGTCATCTCTCGTCATCCTGCTGTGACTGTTGGTAGCACCAGAAGCTACTCTGGAAGCCTGGCCAGAGCCCGACGACCAGGTGCGGGGACAGCCCGGGTTTCGCAACGTGAAAGGTGAGGAAGGGCAGGAAGAGGGCTGACATCTGAGTGCTGACTCGTGCTGGGTGCACATCACGCCACTGAACCCTGGCCGCCCCCGTGGTGGCACCAGGACTCCCGGAAACGCACACAGCCAGGCCGCCCCATGAGAATTAGAGCAGGAAGTGAGGGACCGGGTTTGCACATGTGCCTCTGTTTCTTGGAAAAGACACCGAATGAACACTTTCCACAGTTCTCCACCAGCTGTTATCAATTTAAGACATTTCCAGGAAATAAGACTTCAGCCCAAGGGGGGCCCTGGGTCTACACGTTGGCCAGGCTTAGAGACAACCCGCCTGTCTGTACCTCTCACAGTTAGCAGTGTGCATCGGCTACATCAGCAGCACAAACATAGGCTGATGGCTTTGCTGGAGTCAGAAACAGTGGTGACCTGTGTTCTTCAAACTGTGTTCCACCTAAATATTCTTAGGCACCTGCAAGTTCTATCAGTGTATTGAATTGTTCTCATTTTAATAGTAATGGAAAACACCCCACTTGTTTTTCCTAGTTACAAAGACAAACTTTCTCTTTGCAGTACTAACTTGTAATTAAAAGCCAAAATATCACAGGATAAGGCTTTAGTTTTTTAGGTGGGCGTGTCCCACACTGGAGGCCACTGATGGATTTGGGGGACTCGGCAGAATGGTTTTCCTTTGCAGGATATAAATGCTCTGTGGGAGGGAGCCTGGCATATGCGAATTCCTCTTGGGAGCCCAGGTGGCCTAACTGGCAGGCTTTCAAGACCTCTCTCCGGATGCTCAGATCCTCAGGTGCCCCCAGGCCAGGGGAGGCAGCAAGAATTCATGGGAGGAGCTAGAAGGACTGGCAGGGTTGAGATAGGCTTTCTGCTGAGTGTAAACCTGGGCTTGTGAAACAGGAAGAGACAGGGTTGGCGTGTCCTGCAAATGCGACCCTCAGTAATGGAGGAAAGCCGAATAGACCCAGATTAGCTGGAAAATCTTACTTTGAGCACTTTTGAATTATCTGGATTCTTTTCAACAAACACCTGTCACCATTTTACGTTACCGTGGAAGGCATGTAATCCAGGGTGGTGGCTGCCTCTGGGAAATGCGTGAGAAGGATGGGGAGCATGCAGGGTGCCTAAGGGGGCTTTAGCTTTACCTGAAAGGTGACACACTGTCCAGCACTGTTGACCGTGGTGAGGCAGTGAGCCTCGGCTGTCTGCTGCATCCTCCTCTGTGTCTTCTTCCCGCTGTGGGAGCCTGCACGCCCTTTAAGGCCCAGATGCCCCATCCTGAGCTCTCCAGGCACTCGGTTGCAAAGTGCTCCTTCCCGACATAAAAAGCAGAACAAAGCCACTGTGTGCCGAGTACAAATTTAATAGAGCTTTTGTTGTTTTAATCCAAAGTTATCTATGAAAACAAGCTCCACCCCACAACTTTTTAGAGCCATCAAGAGCCATCGAGGTGTCTGTCAACACCACCTAGAAAAGTACAGACTCAGGGTTTCAGATAGTGCAATACCTCCAGCTGTTGAAGTTAAATGAAATTACAAACTACCCCTCCTCGTCAGAAGAACAAAGTTGATGCTGGTGCTTAGGAACCCACTCTCTCTGCATCCCACACTGGCAGACCCCTAGGAAATAAGAATCAAACCTCTTAGTGCAGGTTGACAATCCTTTAGGCACCAGCATAAATGTACCCACCTGCCCAGAGCACAACACGCACGTTTAAAAGGAATTTTCCAAGGAATCGAGTGTTTAAAGATAGTGGCAAGTCCACAGAATTGGAGATTACTGACAAATCTTAATAATAATAAGAGTAATAAATTCCTATCTGTCTTTAAATTCCTTGCCGTCTCCCCATCAAGGTAAAACACATGCTCTGTTTTGTAGAAGCCTGGGGCTCTAACATGGCCAAACGTGAGCCTGGGCAGGATGCCGGCACCTGGCTGAAACCCTCTGCCGGAGGCCATGGAGACAGGTCCTGCCTGCTCTGCCACCAACACGAAGGTTCTTTCTGGAAGGTGTTTTGCTATGTGGAAGAGAGCTGCGAGTCCTCTGCCGGCTCCTGGCCTCTACTCTGGCTTCAATCTGGCTGGTGGGGATGCACCGGGAGTGTGGTGACGTGGGCGAGGTGGGTGGCTGTCCACACAGAACACTAACATGGCTTCTGCCTCAATTCCCTGGATCTAGAGTACAGTTCTCGTGATAAAGGTGAAGAATGACGGCAGAAGAGTGTAATGGGTTGGAAGAGAAAAACAAAGTGAAAAACCCCAAACCAAAAAACCCAGAGGACCCGTGAGTCTCCTCAGCCTCGTGAGCCTCCGTCAGTGCAAAGGGCTCCCGGGTTCCCAGTGCTGAGGAAGGACGGGAAACAGGACCCAAGTTTCTTGGGACTTTTACAGTCTACAGAGTAAAGCCACTGCCCAGATGGGACAGGTACCTTCGGCTGGTGTTTGTTCCTCACTAGACGACAGTGTGGCCAACAAGCAGGGGAAAGGCAGCTGCCCTCCCCGGGAATCAGCAGGCTTCGAGTAACAGCTAGTGCCTTCTGGAAACGGAGCCGCTTTTAAGGACCGATGGGTTTTTTCTCCCAAACCCGGGATGCCGACATGAGTGCCCAAGATGGGAGCAAGCCAGAAGGGGCTCCCTGGCAGCCCGGCTGCTGAGGACCTGGAGCATCTGAGGTGAGAATGGGCAGAGGACCGCCGCTAAGTGGAACTCGTGGCTCTGAGGTGGGAGCAGCGCCCTGAGCTTCCAGTGCTCCGTGGTCTCACCGGCAGGCACCTCTGCTGCCCGGGAGCAGGTGGGCCTGGCTATCTGGAGAGAGGCTGCTGCGGACGGGACGGAGGCTGAGACTCTGCAGGGTGCATAGAGGCTTGGCAAGGCCTTACCTGAGTCAAGAGTTTTCAGAAACGGAAGGGGAGCATCTCACGTTAGGTCGGCTTCGTGCATTCAGGCCCACGCCCTGAAAACCACTCCGGAGCCTTGGTGTTCCTGGGACTTGTTCATGCATGGCTCGCTCAGAAAGTTAAGGAACAGAAACTCACGAAAAGACCAAATTAACAAAAAGAGAAGCCCCACTGCCATCACAGGCCTCGGCTTCAGGCCACTGTAAAGTAGGAAAGAAGGACCAATGCCGGCGGAATCTGGAGGTTTATTTTCAACACCCCCTTCCTGTTAGTGTCACCTGGAGAGTGCTGGGTAGCTTTGTCACGTGCATCCAAAGTTCTTGAGGCCACAGGGGATGTCTCATGGCTATAGAGAGGGTCTGGGGGCCACCGTCCCCTGGCACGTCAGTCGTGCTCCCAGGGGAACGCCGCCTCTTGGGGCTGAGGGTGCCTGGGAGCCCAGAGTCTGCGAGGACGGGAGCTAGGAGAGCTCAAAGCCCGTGTTCATGCTGATGGCGTAGCGCAGCTTCTCCCGCAGGACGCTC